GCGTGTCGATTGCCGGCCAACTTCTAACTTGGATTTGCTTGAAGTGAGTGTTGTTTTCCTTTAGTTTTAGAGGGCAGTCTTTACTGGTACATGTTCCGCAGTGGCAGCCATACAGGCACATCGACAGGGCAGCTGCACGTGTCTGTGTGTGTGTGTATCCGCAGCCCATTCACGGCTCAAGGGCATCTACAAGGCCAAAATCGCAAGAGAAGTCCGCTTTCGCGAGCTGAATCCGGGGTAAAGCGAAAACAAGTGGGGCCCATAGAGTTTTTTTTTATTTCCGACTTCGAGTTGCTGAACGAGGATTAAGGTTAGCACATCCCATTTGCCAGACCTGGGAGAAACATTGCGGGGTGTAGAAGGCCACGGCAAACCAGCCAGAGTCCCAATTTGGACAACAGGTTGGCCTGCTTTCAAGACGACCTTGCTACAATATAGTTTTCCCCTAGACTATGGTAGCTGTCCCCTCTCAGACCAAACTTGTCCCAACACGGCTTCAGAAGTTTGAGGGGGCAATTAAGAGCAAAAGCCAAGAAGAGGTGCAATTATTTGGGAGACTGTCTTCCATCATCTTTGATGGACGACGAGCCCGAGCCGTGTGGGCACGAGCCATTGGTGAAGCTGCTGGACAGCCCGCCCTCGCCCTGGCCAAAGCGCAGGCACGCGGAAATTGGGGGGTCAACCTCCAAAACTTGCAGTTTCAATGAAAACCCCCAGTGGGCTGCCACTTTTGCATGGGAAATCCAGTGACCCTGTCATTTTGACTGTTTTTTGGGGTTATCCACTGGGGTGTTGCCCTTCAACCTGTCACTTATCACTTGTGCGTTGCCAATCATGGGCCAGTCGGGCCACTTTTTCACTTTCCAGAACCATTCGTTCAAGGGTGATGTTTCAGCTCGTGCTGGAAGCGTTGGCTGTGGCTGTGGTGGCTTAGTTGGTACGCTCAGGCAATATGGCTTTCCAGAAGGCTCTACCTTGTTTGATGTTCCATATGCTGAAAAGTGAGCCATGTTTCCCATATTGTCCTGTTGGCTTTACACGGACCTCCGAGTCTTCGGTACCCTTTTGCGCTTATCCTGGTAAGACGGTGTTTCAGCCTGCTCTTTTGTTCCGTTTCAATGGGTCCCACCCCATGGTGCTGGTTCACAAGTATGGACCGTTGGCTTCGGCGACTTGTGAGTCGGAGCCTGGGCAACGGCACCCTTTGTCTTTGCTATAGATTTCTCACAAAAAAATGGGGGTCGACACCAAGTAAGGGTTCCAATCCTTGGTCCGCCAGGATCATAGCGCCTTTTTTGTTTTTGGGTTGTGCTTTCTTTGCCGGTCTAGTCAAGGTCTTTGAAGCGGGTGGGTCCTTTTAATTCCAAAGAGCGGAACATGTTTTGAACGTTGAACGGTTTCCTTTGTATCAAGCACACAATGTTTGCTTCTGCTAGGATGTTCGGAGCAACACTGTGATTTCAGTGTGTTTGTGCGTTTTGCGAGGGTACCTGTTTCAGATTGATTTGAAGGGAAACCAACAGAGCAGCCAGCATTTTTAGGGCCTATGCCTCTTTTGGCGCATACCCGTATGTGTGGAAACTGGCACTAGAAGGCTATGTGCTCTTTGCTGGGAGTGGCTCGCAGCTTGGCAAGGGCTCCAGGACTGGTTGGTTGGTTGGTTGGTTGGCTGGTTGGTTGGTTGGTTGGTTGGCTGGCTGGTTGGTTGGTTGGTTGGTGGCTGTGGGTGGGTGGGTGGGTGGGTTTCGTTTGGTTTGTTTGTTTGCTTGGTTGCTTGGATGGTACACGCAATAGCGGCCGGGTTTCCTGTTGCACAAGCCGGTCTCGCCTGGGCGCGAACCCGAAGTGCAATCAGCCACAAGCACAGAGCCACTCTGCACTGTGGGCAATACCTGCCTGGTGGTACACCCATAACGCTGGCGAGCCGGTAGGGTTTCGAAGCGACTGTTATATTAGGAGTGACCGGAAGCTCTGAAAGAAGACAGTGGACTGCCGGAGTTGGGCTTGAGGGAAAGGCGTGTACTCCACTTTCTCGAAGCCGCAGCCGGCACAGCGCAGCCGCTCAGCGCCGGAAGGCAGTTTGCGCTTGCTGGACGCCGCTGGACGCGCCATCCTTGTAGATGCATGCAAGGCAGATGGCGCGCAGGTTGCTTCTAGCTTTGTTTCACTGGACGACTGCGAAGTCATCGAAAGGCTTGACGACTTTGCATTTATGGCATAGCACGCTACCCGGTAGTTGACCCAATCAATCTTTTCGCCTCGGACCGCCTTCAGCAGCAACTTGAGCCCTTCAGGCGCATCGCGTTGAAAAAGCCGGAGAGGGGGACCAGTTGCAGGGTGAGCGTATCTTCGTGGCCCCTGCCAGTCAAATTACGACGATCTTTGATCAATTGCCAAGCCACGCTATTCGCCTCATTTCCTCTGAGCGCCTGGCCTGACGCGGCCGCTGGCCACAGTTCGGTGATGTCGGTTCACCGGTCCACGTTTATTTCGGCCATGGCCGCTAGCAAGGTTTTGCCCTGGCTCCGGTCCGGGCCAAGGACGGCTGGCTCTGGAAGTCTTGCGCGTAGTCACTCAACAGGGGCCACGAGCTCAAACGATGGCGCATGGAGACAAGGATCCTTCTTGGTACAGTGCAGACATGAAGTTTGGTCACTCTCATTTACCTCCCTATAGGTTGCGCAATGGTCAGCGCCGCTGGCATCAATGGAGCCGCCCTTAACGATGATAAAAGGCTGCGTTGCAAATTCTTTTTGTAGGGCCGGGGAAGCCACCAAGAGGCAAGAATGCATTTGTGCATGCTCTCAATCGAGCTCCCTTGGGCGCCGAGTGGGCTTGCTGACAACATAACACCTTAAAACCTAAAAGGCACACACACCCACCGTAGGTTTCTGTTGACAGTGGCTGCGGGCCAGTTGTGCGGCACATGGCGCCACTGTCGCAGCATCCAGCTCATCCAGTTCCTCGAGCTGACATTTCGATCACACCTTTCAACTCCCCCAATCCTTAACCTGTGGAGCCAGCCCCACTGCTGCCGCAGGCAGATGTACTGCCAACGGACGCCATTCGTCTGGGCCGGACATCACCCTGGAAACTTTTGATGAGCAGGACACATCCGATGTGAGAGCTGGGCACATGGTTGTGTTTTTGCAGTTTGGTCCGTTGGTTCAACCCTTCAGCTCAGAAGTTCATGACCAACCTTCACGAGGACTTGGATGCTTGCCATATTGACACCACGTCACCCCGACAATCTGCACTATGAAATCACAAAGGACCTGACAAGCTCTTACATCTGTGCGCAAGAGCGTGCTGACAGAGTTTGCGTGGGAGTGTTGCATCTCCGGGAGTGGTGAATGCTGATGAGCAATCCATTCTCACTTTCAACATTGTATCGCACACTCCTTGAGCTTGACACCTTGGTCTAAGGCCCCTATGATGTCACTCGCTGTTCGAGACGCCTTGCTGGGAACCATTGAGTTTGGACTGGCGGCCAAGCCTCAGCCGTATTAGGTGACAGCTCCAGATTTCAAATGGTATTTCGCACATTTTTTCACGGCTTGGCTGTGCCTGTAATGGTGCCAGCCTGTGCCCTTGCCAGGATGGCATTCTCCATGAATGTACTGGCAAATTTGCTACCTGGCTATTTTCCAAGCATCTCCCGCGCAGTACACGATCCACAGCTGCACCGAGCCAGCGGAGCTTGCTGTCCCCTCACATGCGTGGGCGCCATGCTGCGCAGGCCAAGACTGGCGTCTCCCGTTAGCCCGACCAGACGCTAGGTGCGCGCAGTAGATGTGGCGCCCGGCAAACATTGGTAGTTGGGCCACCGCAAGCCACAGAGGCCGGAGCTCGTTTCAAATCAGACCGTCGCTCAAGCAAGGTGCTGCTGGAGCCGTTTGTGCCAGGTCACGGAGGCCAAAGCCAAAGTTGCTGAGGATAACCGTGGGCGTTAGGGCCCCTCGCCGCTGAAAGCGCTAAGCGCACGCCCCAACTTTGGGCTTGCTTGCGAGTCGAACAACCCCGTTGTTGAGATCCAGATTGCGATGCGAGCGCATGAAAACCACAGAGTCGCGCGGCTGTGATCTAAACAAATCACAACCGTGGAGCGATATTGGTCTCACCTGGAGGTTTTGACAACCTTGGTTGCTTTGGCTCGCGTGAGTGAATAAATCAGCGAATTGGTTAGTAGCAACTTCGTTGGTTCAATAAAGCTACATTTGACTGCTGGACGTTTAGCTGCCGTGAGTCGCCTGGAGTTTTCGTGCTGTTCATGCCCGGCACATGGTAGGCACGCACTTCGTCGCACGCCCGCATACATGCCTGGCGCCTGGCAAGCGGTGCCGCATGCCTGTCCACACGCCTGGCGCACGGTAGGCACACCCGCCCTCGCACTTTGTCGCATGCCTGTGCACATGCCTTGCACATGCTAAGCGCGCCCGCCCACGCAGTCTGTCGCATGTCTTCCTGCGGTGTTTTGAAGAACTGGTTGCCCCAGTAGGCTTCAAGTCTACAGCGAAGGGCGTGCGCCAATGGGTGTGGAGGCACAGCTTAGGACAAGTCAATGCAACAAAGTTCTCGAGGCATTGGCGAAGTATAGGGGCGCTATATGTTTTTCGTATGTTGGTTGGTTGGTTGGTCGATCGGTTGGTTGGCTGGTTGGTTGATTGGCTGATTGGGTTGGTGGCCAAGGTCAGGGGGAGACTGAGCCCCGTGATGCTGGAGGTGTGCTCTCACCCGCCCCCTCTTAGTGGCTGTCACGGTGCCACTCACCATGTAGCGAGGCACTCCTGACCAACGGCCACCCAAAAAAACAACTCCAACCAAGCACTATTCCATCTTTGTGTATGAAGAGGCTGATAAAGCCTACATTCAGAGGTTGTGCCGTCTGCAGGTTTGCACATACCCATATATAGAACTTATAGTCCAGTTGCAAGTGGTTCATCCCCACACGCTAGGCTTGCGACGTGGCTCGTCGCCCTCAGCCTCGGCCTGTTGGGCGGCGCTTTAGCGGCGAATACGCTCCGCAGAACGGGAACCTCGGTCGCTGGCACCCAGGAGAGATGCATTGGACGGGATGCTTCTAGATACTGGAAACCTCGAATTGAAACACCCGTGGTTGACTATCTTGGGGGTGACCCCTTTGAAGGGGAAGCATCACTAGAGAAGGGCGCACCCCGCTATTGAATAGGACAGGATGATTAAACCGGGGTCAAGCCCCAGGACCCACAGGGTATTGGTTTTGCTGGACTCCCCTCAGTCAAGTTCCACGTTGGGTGGGTGAGACTATGTAACCAGGAGAAATCATGATAGAACACCTGAGGCAAGAATCCCCGGCCACCATGGGAAATGGAAGCGCTGAGGGAAAATTAAGGGGTTCTGTTTCCCGTACAAATAGAGAAAGATGAATATGAGCTCCTATGAGTCTTGTGGGTTTGTCTGGGTGGCTTGCTGTTGGCTTCCCCTTTTTTGATACAGCCCCAAAAGATGCCAAAAGCAGGTGCTCCAGTATAAAGGCACGCACAAGTATTTGGCCTGAAATGGATGTGTTTCTCTGTGTTTCGGGGTAATTTAACGCGGACGCGAAGGTGAAAAATGACCCATGTTTCGGGCATCTCATTTTTGAATAGGGCCGTCGGTAGGTTTCCCCGACCCTTCAGGATCCCTTAGAAACCCGGCAGGAGCTGATCCAAGCAGCGGAGGCCAGATGGCAACAGGTACGTCGCCGGCCTCTGCCGTTGGGGCGGCGGGTCTTGCAGCTGCCGGCCCTGGAGACGATCAACAAGATCCACAAGAGGCTGGGCGTTGCATTGGGAATAGCCCAGGATGGTGTTCTTTTGCGAAACCCAAAAACTTCAACGTATTGTTTCAAATGTTATGCCGTAATATTTGGATATTGTTTTAAATGTTATGCCCTGAGATTTGAAGATGGTTGTGCCGGAATATTTGAAGAGGATTGATTTTCCCAAGAGGAAACCGACAGGGAAAAACTATGTGTGTATGCCTGGGCAATGCTCTGTCCCGACCCTGGTGTTTCGAGCCCTGCTTTCGGACCCCGAACGGTTGCAGATTGTCCTGAATGTGCGCGGGCTTTGGGACAAATCCTGAACCTTTATCCAAGGAAGTTAGTTGTGAGAAATGTCCGAGACACGAACAACTCACACCAGACAAGCCAAAAGTGACCAACTAGAGACATAGCCAAGCAAGACAGTCCCAACCATAGAGATAGCCACAAGGTTTTCTTTCTTTGTCCATTTTGTGTTTTAAAGGCAAACAGCCATGGCTGACCCATTCCATTCATGGCCAAAAGAAGCTCACCGATGATCGAGGGCCCTTGTTAGGTGTTGCGGGTGTGTGTGTGTGCACGGTGTAGCCCAGACGTATCCTTTTTTCGGCTCGGTTTTTGCCCATTGGTGAACTCCCCCCAAGAACCTGGCCTCCGTTGCTGTCAGCTCAGTATTTTTTTTTTCTGGCGGCTATCAAAGCCACCCTTTGTTAAACCTACCACTTGCGTGGTGACTTGGTGACTTTGATGCTGCCAAATGAACTGGGGGGTGTTCCCTTCAGCAGCCTACCACTTTCATGGGGGCCGGGGGGGAGGGAGGGGAGAGGGAGGGAATAAGCCCTTAATAAGGCCTTGTTTAGGGCTGATTTGGGCTCCCTCCCTCCCCTGACACTTGGCGGGTGTCTTCGAAACACTGCTCCAGGCGCAGCGCGGCGGAGAATCGGCGCTGGGAGGAGGCCACCTGCGGCATCTCCGCCTCCATCGCCGCGGAGAAGCTGGCGCTGCTGGGCGCCGCGGCAGCGAATCGGGACGTCTGAGCTGAGGGCGTGTCTGAAAATGGGCACTCCTTCTTGCAGTCGTCTACACAAACAGAACAAGGAAGCCAACCATTTGTGCGAGGCCCCTTTGGTTTCCATTTCAAGCAACCCCAACAAGGGTACCCTCCAAGTGGTGCACCAGTTGGTAAGTGGCTTATCCCACTATTTACGCGGGGTCATCTATTCCAAGTGGTGCAGAATTTCGTCCATCCAGAGTATTTTCCTTCGTCGGTTTAAACGTCAACCTTCCATTGAGAGGATCCATTGGTATCAGAGAAGTGGACATGCATTTCCCACAACCCTGGGTTTTGTTTGAAGCGTCACATAACGTCACCTTTTGGGCCACTTTTAAGAATGTTTTCTCTTGGGCTGCCCTGTCTTCGCTCAGAATTCACGGGAATGCCGAGCGAACCTATTCTGGAAGGGTGACGTTTTGTGTGTGCGCGGGGGGAAGGTGGTTTGTTCTCTTGTTCTTTGGTTTGAGTTTGTCAGGTTGTGTGTTGTTTATTGGGGGTGACGTTGGGGGGAGGGGTATCTAAGAGGTATTTGGGAGGGGGGGGCGGGGCTGGGGGACCTCCTACTTTGGGGCACTTTTTGTTTAGGATTTGGGCCCGCAAAAACTTGTCTCGCGCCCGCACGGGATATCCCTTCAAAAACTGTATGTATGAACTTACATATTTATAGAAATAAACAACATGAACCCCTGGCATAAAGCTCTTTTAGTTGTTTGAACGCGAAGCGCTATTTATGCATTTAAGTACGTACGGGAAGCGAAAGGACAGATGGCCATGGGTATGGACGTGTACAATGAGCCTTTGACCAGCGCAGGACTAAACCAAAATGGGGGCAGGGTGTCATCGACTTGACCGATCTGAGCTCATCGCGCAGGGCTGCAACTGGAGTCTTCCGTCTACCATTGTGCGCCTAGCAGAATCTCCAGGAGCGGTCACGTCGTCTATGGTCGGTTTGGCCGGGAAATGGGGGGGGGGGGGGGGGCTCACCATTTTTTTCCGAAAACATGTGGGAGTGAGTCATTTTCTTATGTCCCTTTTGCACGACCGTGGCTCACGCGCCGTTGTAGCACCATTCTACTTGCAGGCACGGTCATAAACCCCAGAAAACCTAGGACCTAGACGACTCTCATAAGGGGTTTTATGTAGGGAACCACAACCATGCTCCTCGTAAGGAGTTTTGTGCAAGGCAAAAGGAGCGATTGCGGCCCCAACAATCCATTATTCTATTTATATAAGGACCCCAATACTACTTATTCTTTCCAGCCGTGATTTTTTTGGCCAAAACTAATGTTAGGTTACCCAATAATAAAACAATACTCAACTCTTTGGAAACCAGATGAACTCAGCCAAGCTCCTCAGATGGGCTTATTTTGGGCCACCTGAGCGGGAGAGGTTTTAATTATTAAATCATTCATTGTCTCCCTTCATAAGGTCTTACTCAAAAGTTGTAATCTGAGCGCTTTGTCCTTTCAAACCAATGGGTTGCTTTGCGGGAGAGGTTTTGATTGTAAGGTTCCCTTCATAAGGTTCTACTCTAAAGTTGCATTCGGAACACTTTTCGTTGCAAATCAAAAGGGTCCCTCCTTTTCAATTGGAACCCAATGCTAAACAACCCAATCTGAAGCAGTTCTGGCCCAAAATCGGGGGACCCTAATAACAATCTGTTTTCTGCTGGGGGGATGGGCGGTTGGACCGTTTATTATTCGGGGGACCGATAAAGAAATAAGAAAGGTCCCTTCGTAATTCCTTAGTTCAAGCTAGTAAATCCTCTTGAAGTGCAGATTGTTTGCTTGCTGAGTCCTTGGAGAGCCTTTGAGCCAGACAGTGTCAGAAGGGATTCGCACACATACCCATGCTTCAGCGCCACGGAGAACTCAAAGTCATTGATGTTGCTCCCGAACCCCGCTGATTTGACAGTCAGCGCCTGAGTTGCCTTGGCAAGGCCTGTTTATCCAGGTCCATGTTTAGGCTTAGGAAGAGCCCTCCCGAAGCCAAGAGTTTCTGAGCCCCGGAGATTTGCTAAGTTAGTAGGTTAGGTCAGGCTGGTCAGGTTGGGCTGGTGTTTGTTGAGACTAAATGGGAGGACAGCCCCAAATCTCCAAACCGGGCCAAAGAAAAAGAAACGATGAATCTGGGATCAACTGCAGCCATGGGCCTGGGTCCATCACCTGGTTAATCGTATGTTCATGTCCATGTGGAACTTTAACAACAAATCCCATCGTTGTTTTATGTGCCATGGGGGCCCTGACTCATGACTTCCATGTGCGGAGAAGATCTTTTTTCTCTTTGGGTAGTTGAAAGAAAACAACAAATTCCAGGAAATTCCAGAGTTAGTCTACGCCCTGGTATTTGTCGGGTATTTGGCCATCTTCGTGTAGAACTGTCTGGTTCGCCCATGTTGAAGACAGAATCAGTCCTTCGAAACATGCTCTAGGGAGAAATGATGAGGAGAGTCCCAATCATTCGGATCATTCGGTGGGTTTCTTCGACGGCCACATGTCGGTTTCCTTGCTGCTCAGCAGGGAATGAGAGAACGAGCTCTCCGGACTCTATGCACCATCCCTTTTGGTTCCTTGAAGGGCATCCCTAGGTTCATTCCCAAAACCATTCTTCCTATCCACAATCCCAAGAAGAACACCACGCAGTCGACCACATTTGTTCGCAACTCAATTGAGTAGTGGTTTCTTCAGCCACGAGAACCCCCACCAACCATCCATGGTGGGTTCCTTCGAGGGAATGCTCAGGTTTCCCAAAACCCTGAACCATCCCTGGTCCCAACGTGTCAGATGTTGACAAAGTTGCCTCAATGAAACTGGCTACCCTCAAAATGCACAGCGGACCCCTCGAAAATTGCGGCTTTCCTGCAATTTCCGCTTGTCAACACCAAGCTGAAAACAACCATTATACCCTCAAAGTAAGACACACCCCTCAAGTGCCAGCACACCTCTACCCCCTAGAGGGAATTAGGGCAGGGGTGACCCCTGGACTTCCATGTATGAATCCATTTCCCTATGTGGATCAATGGAATCGGGTCCCGGAGCCACCCCCCTCCCCCCCCTGACAATGAAATCCAGGACCGTGTGCGCCTCAGACATCTCCGGGGTCATCGCCACCTTCGCGGCGGCGGCCAGCTACTTGTCCGCCGTGGCCAACGCCTGCCCTCAGGCGCATTTTGGAGGGCGCGTTTGGGTAGGTTTAAGGGGGAACCAAACAGAACGCAGCCATATGTTGGTGTTTTCAGATTTTGAGACAGACTTTTTAAAGTTGTTCTATTTGTTGACTATGCATGAAGCAAAAGCTTATATACGTATCATTTGTGGCTGGGGCAAGTAGATTCCAGTTCAGTGTCAAACGTTAACTTGTTGCTAGATAATTTTGGTCGGCAGGTTGCTTCATGGCCGGGAAAAAGTAACAAATCATTGGAGCCAGTCGGTACCGTTGTTGGGATGAACCCCCGGTTTTCGACTGACCCATATGGTGTGCAACAAGCATGTCAAACCTCACAGCCAGAACCATAGCAGCTGTGAAAGGTAATGATGCTCCGGGTTTTGTGGTTAGACACTTTGAGACCTCCAACTGGTGCCACACAAAACGTTTGGACCCGTTTTGCACGTCTCTGTTTTCAGGCAGCCAGGTTGTCTGAAGGGGTCCTCCAAACGGGGCCCGGGTGTTCAGCTCCTAATGTTTTGAGTACAAGTCCACGCTCCGGGCCAGGGCTCTGGAAAGGTTCCGGTATTAATCCCGGGGGGGTACCAGGGGCTCTCAAAAGGGAGCTTCCTCTGCGAAAGGAATTTTGCGGGTTCCATGTCGAGAACCACGTGTGGGTGGTTGTTGTTTTGTGGTACCTCCTGGGTGCTTTCCCCGCTTGCAGAACGTCACGAGCTCCGCCGCGGCGTGTTCTGCGGATGTCTTTGACATCATCTATGGGGTCGGGACGCTGGCGTCCGCGTTGGCCACTGCAGAGCAGGAGTGCGAGGAGCGAAGGGACCGGCTGAAGTGGAAACGGCGAGTCGAAAGGGGGCCAGGTTTGCAAAGCCAACTTTTCTCAACTTGGGGGGATGTTCATCTTGGGGAATGGAGAACTAAAGTCGAGAGTCGAAGAACCATTTGAGCTTTTTCAAGAATACAGAGCGAGCTGAACTAAGTTTCGTGTTCTTTGGGCTCAGTCTGCGTTTTGGACAGTGTCCCATGGAGATCGAGGCACGAGGCCTCTTTCGAACCAACTAACTGGTCCCTGGAGCGGCCAGCGTTGCCCAGGAGGAAGCCCGGACCAAGAACAAGGCCATCGCCGAAGAACGGCGGCCCGTGACTCTGGGCATGTGCGTGCTCAACGTGGCCCAGGCGACCTCCTACATCGGCCACGCCGTAGTGCCTCGGCACAACCTGACTTCGGGTGCGAGGCAACCCAGGTACGCCCTTTGATTCTGCTGGGCTTCAACTAAGTGGTAATTGTGACTCAAACTACGGAGGCCGCCCTTCCCCACCCAGAAAATGCCTGGTTTCTGTTGGCTTACCCAAGTCCCAATCTGGTTCCAAGCGCAGTTTTTTGCTCTTGTGGTCAATCCCGCCAATTCTGGCAACACCCGAGGGCCAATTTGGATGATGACCCCGATTAATCCGACATGCTGAGGTCGGGCATGTTTTTCCCTCTCTTTTTCTGCGGGGGTTGCCCTTTGATATTAACCCCCGTCGACTCCGGATCAATCGAGCTGTCCAATTCAAATATATGGGGGTGTTGTCCTCAGAAACATAGATTCCCTCGAACAGGGGCCACGCCCATATAAATAAGTGCCTTTTCTCCAGGTCCATTCCCCTGACTGGGGGGCGTTTTACCGGGGATGAGGGTTGGGCAGAATGTATTCAGCTACTTTTGTTGATACCAAGGGAATCCCGTTTAGAGTGGCACGTCAGTCATGGGATGGCCCATGTTGGCACCACAAGGGTTATTTCCCACGGGCATGTTCAATCAAACGGACAACAAGTCCCTCTAAAGGGGAACCAAAAGGAAGCTGGTGAAACAATAGTTTTTTAAAGCATGTTCTGGAGACGGGTTTGGCCCAACCCTGATTTAAAATGGGTCAACCGTGTTGGTCTGTGTCCAAGAAAGGAGGCCCAAAAAATGTAGTTTTCCTTTGGGTTTTTCTTTACGCCAACCTGAAAAAGATGCCCAAACACACACACGCCACGGGTTTCCGCGCTTCAGATAAGCATCCGGGCGGCGAAGGTGGACTGCGAGAATCTTGGATGAATTTCGGGGTACCTAAGTTGGGTCCAGTAAAACAGTCACCCAGGTACCAGCTTATTTTGGAGGATCCCGCTGCAGCTGGTTGGTGCTTGGATCTATAAGCACCCCTGTTGTTGGTTGCGAAATGGACCTTGAGTGGTTCGGGGCACACACCAGAACCGTTGGTTGCGATAGTGCACGAAGCGGTCAACCTGCTTAAGTGTTGATTGTCAAGAACACAACCCACGAATTGTCAAGTTGTGTTGACCACCTTCGCGTAGCTTTTGTGTTGGTTTCCTACCAGCTTGCAAGTCAATCACTTTTTGCAGGTCAGTTGCGCCAGGAACAAGCAGCTATCCAACCGCGCCGCCAGCTGCGCAACACAAATCTCCGGGGCGCTGCAATCGGTGTCGCTGGCGCGGAGCCGGGGGAACGATCTCGGCGTGTTTGACCAGAAGGCAACACTTAAACCCATAGATGAACGCAGTCCCAGCATACATAGGTGCGCTTTTCTGGAAAACTAGACATATCTATGAGCAGACCATTTTTGTACCAGATTTCTTATTGCGGCTTTATGCTGTTTTCCAGACCCTCTATTCACCACTCAGTACCAAGTCATGCGAGTAGAAAGAACCTGTCACATCAGGGCTTATTGCACTTATGGCTGTTTTAGCTTCAAAGTCTAAATCGTTTTCTATGATCATCAAATCTAAGCTTTGTTATTTGGGGCCCTCCATCCAGTCAACCGGTTGCTTGGTAGATCGAAATGTGTCGAGAGGGATGATGCTTCCTAGAGTTTCGGATCCCCTTTTGGAGGGTCGAGCCGCAAGGAAACCTGGCAATTTGGGTGTTCTCCAGGACATACCCAAATAGCTTAGAACAGGCCCGCTGTTGAAAACTCGCGTCAGGAGCCTTCCGTAAGGCTTCAGTTCCGCGAAACAAACCTTGCCCTGAGGGGATCCCTGGAGGTCTCGTGGGCGGAGTCTGCCACTGGTCAATGGAACCAGTTGGGCTGCTTTACTCAAGATTCACGTATGGATCTGCTTCCAGCCACCACCAGTAGGTAGTCAGCCATTTGCATGTTGATTTTCATAGGGCAGTTCCCTTTGTTACTATAAAGTGATAAATGGAATCGCGGGTTCAGATTTGCAGGGCATTGTGGTGCAGGTGGCGGCCTACCTGTCCAACGCAGCGGCCATGTGTGGTGCCACGATCGTGGCGGGAGCCGAAGCGTGGCGTTGGGTCGAAATGGGCGTGTCTCTGAATGAGGGCATCCTAAAACGGGTATTTTGTTGGTTTTGCTTTCCCCCTGAAACCAACCCACCACAAAAGAAAGCACTCCATGGAAGCAGCTAGTGAGTCTCGAATGTTCCAACAAGGGTTGCTCTAAGCATCCGACGCCTCTAAAAGTAGCCCAACACGCAAGGGTAAAGAATCGGATTGTTTGTTGGTTCCCTAGCCTTTAGAATCCTTTGGCGGGGTCCGAGTTTCCGTCCTCGTGCCGATCAGGTTGGAGCAGCCCTGTCATTGGCACGAGATTGGCTAACTTACGACCATGGTAGCTGGATGAATAAACCCCTAGTTGATTAATAGGGGGTGTCCCGCTTTAGTGTGAATTCGCATCACTTTTGTGGGTCGCACCTTTTAGGGGGTTGGCTTCTACTTAGATGTGGGGTTCCCATTAGGCGGAACATTCATATTCAACACGGTCCTTCCCCTCCATTTCCTGCGTTGCCTCTGAGCTACCGCAATTCCATGCTCTCTTCCTGATGAGTCCCATGCACTGGTCTCGACCTCCGGATCCTGCAGTGCCGTTTGTTCCTTTCGGTTTGGAGGGGGTTCCCCTTTTTTTAGTCGTCCAAAAAACGGTGCCGGCGATATCCCGTGATGGCCTCGGGAGGCGTGCTGTTCATTGCTTTGTGAGTTTTGTGGATACGTCCGGTGGCTCATTTCGGGCGTGTGCTTGACCTTTTGGATTTACCCAAGACTCTGGAAGCGTAGAACCCGATAGGGAGCTTGTTGCCCAACAAATCGCGTGAGCTGGTTCAATTTTGCTCCACTGAGAGCAACCCTGTACTGTATGTTGCGAAGTTATGTGCTTTTTTGTTGGAGGTTATACTAGGTCACTGATTCCCGAGAAGGGGGCGGAACTAGGCTTGATTCCTGTTTCTTTCTACGAATTGTTCTTTTCGGAAGCCATCCATGTGTTTTGGAGGTCTTGGGCCATCTCAAGAGAAGGATCCCTCAAGAGAACGGAGTGGGCACGCTTACAACTATGACAAATCAGTCAGAGAACAAAACCCCGTTGAATTTGGTGATGCGCGGCAAGTCATGTTTTGGAGAGGTGTTGTGCCTCACCTCAAGTGGATGTCTGATGGGCGGCCCCATCTGGTCCGGTATCATGGTTGTTCCAGGGTTGTTTGTCTATCTTTCGATGGCTGTGGCCTTAATTTGGGTGATGTCATCCCTATATTGCATATATTGTATCAACCTTTAAGGTTAACTACGGGGAAACAAAGAGTGAAGAATTGCAAATCGGGCACCCCGCCTAATGATCAACCAGGGGGTGTATTGATCCTAGCATCCCATTATCCTGCAATTTGAGGGGCCTTTTCTTTTTGAGAACAACTCTGCCAGAAGACAATTTGGCCTCTACTGGGCTAGACACGTTGCTACCATTTGTCTCTTTGCCTTGCTTTAAATGTTGATGACAAGCGTGGAATCCTTGGTTTTGGGTTGAAAAGAGCCAAACTTGAAACCTGTTCAGTTGTCTAGTTTAAACAGATTGATATAAGCACTACACTGAATATAGGGCAGCGTCCGCCTTTCAAAAGTAAACATCCCATCCGATTCAGCTGCGTCTGAGGAATGCTCCAACCGAATCGGCTCGGTGGTAGCTGGCATGGCGGAGGTGTCCGCAGGAGGTCCCTTGGCGCTTGGAGCTTTTCCATTTCCTTCTTCCACCAGGTCACTAAATGTGCTTTGCTTGCAGGCCACTAAATTTTCCACAAACACAAGGCGCCTTCTTACGGCTGTTGTTTGCAGGTCACCAAATGTCCCCCCAAAAAACAGGGCACTTTCTTACGTCCTGCACGGCAAATGCAGAGTTTGACCATGACTTGTATACGTCTCCCCGCGGGTACAAAGAACCATAGAGGGGGCTGGTGGAAATATGATACAAGAGTCGTGGAGATGTTAGATTCAATTTGGGGTTGTGTCTTCAGGTTTGCGGACTCAAAGTCAAAGTGAACTTAGTGTGGTCACTGTGGTCATTTGTTTGTGTCATCCATCCCAAATGTTATGACTTAGGTTCTTTTCCCGTCGCCTTGAGCTGTCCAGCCGCACTGACCAATGACTTGGTCTACCGTAAGTGAGGCTTCTTTGTGGAGCAAAGGAAGGGAACTGTGAAGACTGGAATTTAGAAGACCCATTGGAAGGCAGGGCTCATCAGGTTTCAGCTTTGGTTCAATGTTCAACAGTGCACACGGACGTCCGAGGGTGGTACACCCCAAAAGTAGCGGACAAATAGCTATGGTAAGTTCTAGCGAAGCAGATTGGGGTGGTAAGCTGTTTTCTTTTTAAGGGGTGGTGTAGCTTTTTGGGGATGTGGTGAGCACTGTCCCGAGAACCTGCGCGTTCCATGTTAAAGTAGGGCGATATCTCCCAATAGCGGCAACAGCATGCAACAGCATTGGCCAGGATGAGGATGTTGGATACTTGTAGATTGAGAAACGCTATCACAAGCCGAAAATGTAAACCAGGCTTGAACATGCTAGCCATATGTGGGAAGCGAGATGTAAACGCAACCAAGCCAAGCTACTACAGTGCAAAGTGTCCTTTCAAACAGCCCTTAAGTAGGTCGCTTGTCTCTGATTTGAAGAAGCTCATGAGAACATTGCCCTCTCTAAACTAACTGCTATGTGCCACATTTCAACGGGAAAGATTGCAGAAGGTTTAGTATGTTCCGTTTAGGATGAACATATAAGGAACAGAGAGAGAGAGAGAGAGAGAGAGAGAGAGAGAGAGAGAGAGAGAGAGCAAGAGAGAGAGAGAGAGAGAGAAAGAGAGAGAGAGAGAGAGAGGTCCTTGACCCCTGGAAAAGTAAATGTTTGCTCAGGATGGATTCGACATCTCTCTCGGAAAAAGGGTCCTGCTTCTAATGGTGGATTCGCCCCCCCCCCCCTAGATTAGTATGTCACCCCGAGCTTTGTGCTTTGTCAACCACAAAAAATAGCAAAGGGACAACCCTGCCTTTCAGGGGATTCCGCTTGGCGAAGGACAAACGACCTTTGAATTTTGCAAGGGGGCCCTTGCTTACCTTCTGTTTCCGTTAAAAATGAGTCTTTTCCAGCGGAAAGACAATTTGGAGGGGATGGATCCCTGGTGGATACGTACAAAGTTCCTTCGGCTGAGGCAGCGCCACCGCATTGGATTGCATCAGTGAGCCAAGCCGAAATAGCACCATCAGGCCACGATGAGGATCAGAACTGGAATTTATGCAAAACCGGGGCTGGGGCAAACGCTCCTTCGCTTCGCAGGGCAAAGACCCTGCACGACCCGGGCATGGTTCCTACCGGAAAAGCTGTGGTGCTGAGGGCTAATAGCACATCAAGCTTGTTCCGACTTCGCCGTTCTTGTGTATATTCTGGTGTATGGTCGTGTTTTGCTTAGCATGTGCCTAATTTTGTTGGGTCCTTGTTTTGTGTGGGCCTCGAAATCCTGTTTGGGAACAAACGGATTGTACTTGTTTGAATTCTCTAGGTAATACTACGCCGCCGCACAAACCCCAATCAATTTACCAAATCACATTGTTGAATCAACCACTCCTCCATCGAAGCATATTCCAGGAAACCCCCTCACAGGCACCAACCTTTTGGGGAGAGCTCTGTTGGACGTAAGAGAGGCCTGATACCTTTCGCTCAACAGACATCAGTGCCTGCCTTGTGGATTAAGGGTTCCCGACATTACGGGCAATGGTTTGCGTTTTTGCGGGTGCCGTTGTAAGCTAAAAGGGAAACCAATAGCAAAAGCACGATTTTGGGGGACTCCCCATTCTGACGTATACCCTTCTCTCAAATGTTGCTAATGTTCACCATTGGTTGCCAAGTAGGTGATAGGAAGAAGGAAGCATGGTTGGAATTATAGTTGGAAGTAGAAGAAGGTCGGAAAGACCCTGAACAAGCGGAGGCCGAAGCGGGTCTGTACCTTGCCTGCTGGCCCGAAATCACTTTGAACTGCTCGGAGCATGACGCAGCTACCCCTGAAACCCCAATGACGCAATGCGCCATAAGAATCTCCGTATGTTCAAAGCAGAAGTACTGCCAAAGCCCAGAAAGTCCCGAAACCATGTCGGACATTGCCAGACTCATCTGATCCCTTTTGGACCTTTCGGGTGTCCTTCATTTCCCCTATTTACCCACAAATAGTTTTAGAGCTCAGGGAACGGCTGTCTTGCGCGGCAAGCGGCGGCTACTCCTCAAAGCCTCACCGTGAAGTGCTGTTTGTTTAGCGGAAGGGGCTGGCTCCAAGGGGACCTGGTGTCTCCTTTACGCTTTTTCAAGCCTCGGTTGCCTGATTGTTGTTGTTTTTTTTGGGAGGAGGGAAGCTAAGGTAGGGACTAAAAGCACTCTCCATTTGCCCGGAATGCTGGTACAAAGGAAGGAGTATGCCCGTTTGTTCAGTGGCACCCTGTAAAGCCAGTTTCTTTGCCGTGTGTTTTGCCAAGACTGGTCAGTAAACCCCAAAAGAGCGCTGAAAAGAACTGGTTTCCCGGTTCTTCCAGTGTCACCGGCAAGGCTTGGGTCCACTCATAGGTGTCCTTTTGGGTTGATTCGGTTTCAAAAAACAGAGAGCCCTGGTTTACCTGGTGGAAAAGGACACCTACGGGTCCAGTGCTCTTTTGGCATCTCGCGGCTCAGGTGAGGGCCAAGAGCGTGCAACTCAGCTGCGGCTCCCAGTCCGAGCAGACCGGGACGCACCTCGGCGTCCGATTCGTTCAACAGCTCCTTCGTTGCTCCCCAGATCAACGTGGAAGCCAACACACCAGCGGTTTTAGAGGAACCTCCTTTAGGGGCAGCCCCCTTTTTTGAGGTTCCAGAGTAATGCGCAGAGTAGTTGTTCAGTTCCTGAAATTGGGTGAAGTCGCCCTTCAACAAACGGTCCGTTTTTGTCTATGAGAAGGAACTGTCGTCAATGCCTTTACTAAAGTGTTCATGTTGATGCGCTCCTACAATTGGCGGATGGGCCTACCCCAGCTTTCCCTTTTCAAATTTGCGGTGCCAATCACTACACAGTGTGCCACTTTCCGGTGATGTTTTCGACGCCAATTCGAAATCTTACGAAGGGAGATTGATGTTTCCTGCCTGGAAGGTCTGGTAACATACCAGGTGTTCAAGGGCAAGCCCGCGTCTTGGTTGTGGGAATGAGGGGGTTCCCAGTTCTGTACCAGGGGACCTGCCATTTAAGTTTAGACATCATTTGGAAGGCCCTCCATTGACTCCATTGGTCGCATAGGAGAGCCCTACAGCGCTGGTTGTCTGGGAGAGAACATTTTGGCGCCAATGGATCTTATCAGAGGATATACAGGTCCAGCGGCGCTTCTCCTGTTTTTGTTTTTCTTGGGGGGGCTTCGCTTCAAAGGCAACCTGCCAACAAGAACGCTGTTCTTTTATCTGGAAATCCACTGGAGGTCTGCAGGAAGCATCAAATGCATGAGATGGGTGCCTGGTCGCTGACATGGGTGCCCTTTTGGGGTTGTTTGAAGGGGAAACGGAAGGGAAGCAACTTATTGGGTGGGTTGCCTCCATTTCCAGGCAGGCGCGAATGACCTTGCAGCTTTGATTGAACTGGTCTTATATTATGTCTTGGCAAGTCCCAGCGGTGATTCCATGTGATCATCTCTTGGCCCTTCTTGCGCGATGATTGCCCTCCGTTTCCTTTTGAAGGAAGCTCTCCACGGCGTTCTCGCCCAGGTGGCAGCTGAGTTTCATTTTCGACGCCATGGTGCCGTGTGAGGCGGACACATGGCATTGATCATGTCCTATTGAAACTGGATGCTAAAGAGCCAATATCAGTTTTATTTGTCCAAGAAACCAAAAGGGGATGGTTCATTGCGTGTTGCTTTCCAGACCCCATATTTAGAACTCAGGAAACCAACCTCCTGTTCACCACCTCCTTTTGCAACTAGGTCCCCTCACTAAATCAGGGAGCGGTTCCGGTCCGCATCCATGAAAATGTCCACTTCTTTAGAAAGGATGATCATGTCGTCAGATTCAGCCAAATTTGCCAGTGGTCTATGATTTGTCCACCAAAAAAGCAAGAGGCAGAGCCCTAATTGCCCTATCAACTTTGGGATTTGGGGAACCGCTCGAGATCCTGTGAATTTGTCATATCATATCTTCTCTCCTATTGCCCAATCCAAGCCAAGGGCTATAGCTAAGAACCATTGCATTCATAACTTCCAAGATAACTAGGTGCCAAACTGTTGATTCTCCCATGACACCGAAAGGGGATGAAGATGTTTCCAAGACCCCCGAATTCAGTACGATAGGGACACCCACGACTTTCTTAAGACTAGGTGCTGGTGCACGTGGGCTGCAGCGAGCGAAGCCTCCCAGAAGGACGGGGAAGCCTTCCCCCCAGCGAAGTCTAGAACCTGATCATGTGCCCTCGTTGCATTGCGGCAATGCGAATGTAGAAAGCAGCCTTCTCCATGTCCCATCCTTCTAACGGATCGGATGATCCAGAGCAAGGGGAGACATCTGTGGGTCTGCTACTAGTGACAAGGAGGACCCAAGGACCATTAAGGGCCAACCTAACTTTGCCATGGCTTCTGTTGTTCTGGTTCGCAATCAATATTGGATAGCATAAGTGCCCATCAGAAAGTCTCTGGGCGGAGTTCCACGGTCCTTATCCTCATTCCATAGTTACCTGTTTAGTTACGTTGTGCAGTTTCAGCTTGTTGTTCTTTGGACAGACAGCAAGCAACCAGCAGAAGCGCGCCATGTGTGCCATGATACCATCACTCCGTTTCGCCTGGCCTTGAGTACTTGGCTCTACTTACAAGAGCTCACAAGGTAGTTGTGTTTGGGCATCTAAGCAGAGAGCTACCTGGAGTCTCTACGACCCCTTAAAAGACGGGGATTAATGTTGCCATGGTTTTGGTGTTCTGACTCCATTCTTCGGGGACCCTGAGGACTCCAGGTGGACTGTGCTTGAGCCTTGGAGGAGAGATGGCCTCAGATGCGGCCGAGAGCCTCGAGTATCGCCGGACACCCGTTTCGATCGACTGCTTGGTTTTGACCCAGGAGCCACAATCAAACGCTGCCACTTTCATTCTTGACATGGGTTGCACAGAAGTTGGAGGCCCGCTTCGGGTCAAACAAGATGGGAGATGTTTGGCAGCATCGAGACGATCGTTTGCACCTAGTATTCCATATTCTAAAAGTTTCTGGAGGCCACCCCATTATGAACTGATCTGTGGCTAGACTACTTTAATACCATTTCTATGACTCAGTCTTTGTAGGGTTGCTTCAAGCCTCTAGAAGACCATCAATGATCAACACCTAGGGGCAGAACAAACATTTGGCGCGCTGTGGCTTTTGTTTCCCCAAGAACGAGTTGTCCAGCCCAGAGCCAGGTTTTGGGTTACGCCCTGACTTGGTTAGATAGAATAGTATGGTGCTGTCTCGAAATCATTACTGTACATGGCGTTCCGATTTTTTGTGGGATCCTTTCGGAAATTGTCCTAAACCCAGAAACAAATTTGTGTGTGTGTGTGTTTCCTTTTCAGAGAATGAGAGAAGAGAAGGGTTGGGATCCATAGTGCTGTCTTATCCTCCAACAGTCATAGAAGCTGACGGAAGGATCTTGGACAGCTACTTTCCTTTTGGGGAGAAGCCTGTGCACTTTCGCGATTGCCAAGAAGGTACCCAGTTTGCGACAGAAACCCTTTGGAAGGACGGTGGTATTTTTTACAAACCCAGACGTCTCAACAGTAACAAAGCAGAGGTCGTGCCCTCCCGCGCGCCACTCAGGCTGGGTCTCCAAGCCTGTTCGATTCCGGGACGGATTGAACCAGGAGCGCGCGTGCCGGTCGGCGCTTGCTTCATAGCCCTTGTTGTATGGCTGACCCATATCTAGACAACAGTTTAGCGCGCCACATTGTGCGCTGGCACTCTTTCAGCACTTTTTGAGGTGGCAATTTACAGGGGGCATCCAAAATGTCTGGATCAGGTTCTACGCGGGTGAATCCAACATGTGGATGGCACTTCCTTTACCTCCGGTGACTCGAGCTTGGAGCAAAAGTGACGCGACCGGGAGGAGTTCAGAGGCGAGGTAGACCTCGGCGACTTCATGGCCAAGGTGAGGAGTTGTTTTTCTTCGGTTTTTTTTTCCCGAAGGCTTCCTTCTTGACACAAAATGTGTGTGTGTGTGTGTTTCTTCTGAGGGTACACTTGTTTGGTTTTGAACGGCACACCCATGTTCTTTTCGGCAAACTGCAGTGATTTCAACTGGATCTTTGGTGTTCAGGAAAGATGGATGCCTGGAGCAACAAGTACCCCCCACTCCAAATGCCCCCTACTCTATAATGCCGAGCCCTCCCCAAAGAAGATGATTCACCATGGCAAACCGCATCTTGTGAAATATTCCCTCACCAGCGGATATTCCGAGGGGGCAGTCTGTTGCTCAGCGTCAGGGTTACTTGGCCCAGAGTTTCGGCGGCAATATTTGGCAAAGCGTCGACTTTGAACTCGCGAGGGTTTTGCCAGCAATGCCTCACTGAAATCACTAGTCTCTTAGAGAGCTCCTTTGAAGGTGCTCTATATCGAGGGCTTCTTGTGCAACTTTTGGGTTTCGGATTGCAGTTGCAATGCTTTCCAAAGGATGCTTGTAAAGCGTGCCTTTCAACAAGGGCTTTCGGGCTTCAACTAACTCGCTTCTCATCAATTGCTCCTTTCAACAAGCTCCTTGAAAAGAAATCCATTGCAATCACACCTGTGCAAATTGCATGTTCTCGTTTAGCAGCCACGTTTCCATCCTGCCAGTGTCTTCGGAGCAGCCTGGCGCATCCCGAATCTTCCCATGTCCACTGAAAGAACCGCAGGTATGCTCACCTTGGCTCTTCTCTTGGCATGGGTCCTTTGCTTTGGTTGAGGTTCCCTTGGCATTTAGCCGACGATTGACAAGTACTGGCAAGTGATTTTGTTCACAAGCTCCATTTCTTTTGACCCCCAAGTGGGCCCCCAAGGGTCTTTTTGGAGCCCAACGAGAGGTCCAGGTAGGTCCCCGTGGCAAACCATTGCGCAAAGCTGAAGGCACTCTTCGGCTCAACCCGGGGGCACAGGTCGCGAGCCTTTTTCGCCTGAGGCGCCCGAGCGTGCCGACAGCGAGTTCGCGTCCGAAGGCGGCGTCGACTTTGCCGGCTTCGAGCTTGGGGTGTGAGATGCTCTTTGGATATGTGTGTGTGTGTGTTTTAAGGGTCTCCCTGTTTGATCTGGGACAACCACAATTGTTTGAGGGTCCCCTAAAAATACACAGACCCATTCGGACAATTTGTAGGGACCTCACAAAGAGTCGGTGTGCGACCCAAAGTCTTTGATGAAAGCTCCGCAAACTATGGGCTTGGCATCCACATGGAATCGCCCGCACGTGATGAAATCATTCTGGAGAAAGGTGTAAGAGTCTGGCCAAAGTGGAAGCACATGGAGTGATTTATGTTGAGCCACCTGCAAATGGTCAATCATATCCAGGGTGAATTTTGCTACGTAAAGTGCCTCTTGGCGCTGGGTAGAAAGCGGGCCAAGTCGTTGGTCGGCCGTGGATGCTTGCCGCACCGCTGAAAGAAAATATTCAATCCGTTTCCCGGGAAGCGGGCAAATTGTTGGTAGGTTTCCTCATCAGTTGGGCCAACAATAGCTTGAACTGTTGCTGGCCAGTCAACTCAGCCGGCCACAGTCAGGTAATCTATGACACCCCCGAGCCATTGATGACAAAGAGGAAGATCGACACGACTCATTGGTAGCTCTTGACTGGCAGGGAGTGCGCTCTTCTGCTTGGTGAAAACAGTTTTCCGAGCCGACGTTGATGAACTTGACTTTGCTGAATACCACTGGAAAAATTGTGGGTCTTCGGGACCTTGGAAATCAGGACAGACCCCTGAAGGGGTCCCCATTGCAAATTGCATTTCGTGGACAACAGTACTGTGTGGGCTCGGACTTTTTGTCGCAGACAAATCCAAGTCCCCACACCTTTCCAGATTGTTTTTCTTGTTTCATATACATTTTATTTATTTGGATGGATGTCCTGTGGGATGGCCGCATGGCCAGCTTCCTATGCACGATGGTTTGTGTTCTCGCTTGCTCACGCCATGACTGCTCCCTTGCCTTTGTGTCTTGCATGTTGCCGGGCATAGACCTCGTGGGCCCCTAATCGATTATTGTGGCAATATCGTCAGTTGCTCATATTATATTAGTAGCTGCCATTACTGGCCATTCAAGTTTCCAGCAAAGGCTGGGGATAACCCAATTTGTTGATGTACTGTTCAGCAAGCAAGTCATTTTGTCCGGGGCTCATATCATTGGGCAGATTCTGACCGTATGCGTTTCCGCTCAGGCGGTGCCAGCGGCTACGGCGGCAGCAGCGGTGGCTTGCGAACTCGCATGCGGTCACAAGGCGGGAGTTTGGTGAGCAGGGGTGCTTTCCTCCATTACAGTTATCCTTCTTTCCAGCACACTTGGCGGTTCCCAGCCATCCCCTTAGGTTTTTAGCTGTGGGTTTGGTAGTGTCCACCTGGGAACAGCCCAGTAAACAGCAAAGCAGGGGGCGGCAGGCTGTGAAGGGACGGATCGTTGAATAGAAAGGCATCACCCCCAACTTGTTTGCACACCCGAAGTCTGCCATCCGCTTGATGGCAAAGGACGAGTTGCATGCGGATTCCGTGGCAAGTGAACCAACCGAAATCCTTGCCCCTTGCGATTGGGCTCGTTCAAGTGACATCCTCCAAATGGCCGCTTCACTGGGAACCCCGGCTGGGACTCAGAGCCCACCTCCCCCCCAAAAAAAAAGCTCAGGTGTTTATCCCCGACAGCATGCGGTGCCCTTTTTGGTGCTCACCGTGGAACCTGGTGGAACCCTGGTGGAACCCTGCCCCGGACCACCCCGGAGCCTATCTGGGCTGAGACCCCAAAGCTTTCAGCTGTTGGGGAAAAATCGAAGCACACAAAACAAGCAAACACACACACACACACGAGAGACCAGAAAAAGGACGTGGGGTTTCCCTTCAGTTGAGTTTGGCTGCCCTTTTGCAAGAAAACACCAGCCCGGCCTTTCTGAGTTGCCGGAGCCTGTGAGGCTTCTGCATTGAGCTTAAGGCAGCTCGGGCACCCGGACCTGTTTGCTCCAGTGCTGCAAGGTTCCCTATACGTTCCTTTTGGGTGGTATTTAAACATCACCTCTTGGGCCCATTTAGCGTGAGCTTCCTTCAAGAAGGGTGCTGCTTAGGGGGGAGTTAGGGGGAGCTCTCGGCTTTCCCTCTGTTTTTGTTTTTGTTTGTGGAGTGCATTGTCATAGGTGTCCTTTTTAGGTTAGGTTGATCAAAAATAGATGGCACTGGTTTAGATGGGGGTTCTTCCATTTACCAGGGCCTTCTTCCAAAGGCCACCTATGTGCATTGCCCTTTGAAATCTACCAGAAAGGGGCTCGTTTATAGTAAGCAGGATCCGATCGTTTGCACCAACGGACAATGGGTGTTGCAGTTACCCAATTGTAGCAAGGCCCACTCTCCTGGAAGCCGGAGTTTCATGGACCACCAACAAGCCGCCCTGTTTGAATGGGCAATCCAGTGACCTTTCTCTATACTGAGTCCGTGCACATGAAGATGTAACCTCATCTATACAACAGGATCAAATTTGCAGCTGCATGCCCATCAAGGTTCCTGTCTGAATTGGCAGACCCAGAACACACCCTTTAACGTTTGCTTTTGTGTTTGTCTTCAGTTTCTTTTTTCGCCATGTGATTTGAAACATCGACTAAAGTGTTTCGAGGATAACTGTTGGAACCCCCATGGGCTATTTGCAATGCCGGCAGCTCTTGGGAGGTCCATGCAAATTTCAGGAGTCCCTTGACATTGGTTGCCGCTTTAAATTTTCGATCCCCTGCCCCCGAAACCGCCACAGCCGTAGGTTAATTATCTTTACAGGAGGTGGGGGAGTCAACTTGGCGGTGAACAGGTTGCGTAGGTGAATGCCTAGTAACCCTGGTCCCTTGAAGAGGATGTTTGTCTTCCAGGTACCCTCCATAGCTGCTATGTTAGCGGCAGGCTACCCTTCCTCCCAGACAGTGTAAGTAAGACAAAGCAACAGTGTGGCCTGGATCATGGTTTTGGAGGAATACTTGATTTTAGGAACACTTCGATCCAAACAACGGATACGTTGGTCCGTGGCAACCCGAACGTATTCAGCATTTGCCTGGCCCAATAGATACGTTTCCCTAGTCACAGCTCCTAAATCGAGTCCTTTTGGCCACTTGGGTCAAAGCCATGAGGCTCGCCGACTTCACCAGACATGTGTCCATGCTTTTAGCGGCAGTTTCGCTGAGATGCCCTTCAGCTTCGTGGCTTCCCAGCTTAGTCATGGCACCAGATGAAGCGCGCAAGTGAGCGTGTAGGTTTGTCTCGAAATTGGTACTGGACTGGAGATGGGTTGGCTTCCCTTTGATTTCGTTCGAATGCAAATCTAAAGGGGATACCGTCAACAAAACCACACACCTTTGTCCTCCTGGGGAAGGAATCTTTGCATTTCCGGCTTTGGTTGCCCTGCCGAGGCACGTCGGCGAAACAACAGTGAAGGCGCGCATGGGAGGTTCATTCAGGATCCCCCTGGGTGGACAACCTTTTTTCCCCATAAACACGTATGATGTTTTGTTCCGGGAGCGGACCCCGTGCAAACACCATGGAGATTCGGTGGAGATTGGTAACACAAGTCACAAAAAGATAGCTGTTTGCGTGGCTTAGTACTGGCTGAGTATTGCCAGCGCCTGGTGGACCGATGTGTTATTTCCTCCCCCTCAGTCTGGCCGCCATGTGCATTTGTGTACCTACCTTCCCCCTTTTCTTTGTCAACTCGGTGAATATTTTTTGGACAAATCCCTATAAGCAAATCGCTGTTCGACATGACCAACTTCCTAGGTCGACGTATTTAAGCATGGTTCGAAGCCTGGAAACTCTCAACCATGGAACATTTGGACGCCATAGGCTTGGGCATGCAAGTTGTTCCAGCGACTCACAAATTCTGAGATTCTCAACTCCTGGCGTGGAAGGGTCTGCGGGTCTGGCCGGCGGTTTTTGGCAAAAGGATCGTGACCCGTGCTTGGTTCCAGTTGCTCGCCTTAGCTGTGGATCTTGCGGGTTACTTGGCCCCTATCCCACACTGATGTTAGCGCGAAAGGCAAAATGATCCGGATGTCCCCCAAATTGTCACCCCCCAGCCTATGAATCAACCTCGGCTTCGTTCATCTTGGGTTCCTGTCACCCCCGCTTCTGTGATACCTTTCAAATAATTCCATTCCCTTTGGTCAAGCTGTTGGTTGGAATGCGAATTGTTTGCCAGTGGAATCCCAGAGGACATGTAGTTCCCACTAATTTCCCTGCCACTGGTATAAGTTGATTCGGGGAGGATATTGGAGGGACCTCCCAATATTCCGTGCAACTGGTCGCTCCTTCGGCCACTAAAAGAGAAGGCCAATCCTCCTTTGCTTAGCTTATAGACCAAGGGTTTTCTTTGACACCATTTGGCAACTCAAAAGCTTCAGGCAGCTCTGCCAAGGCTTCCTTTTTTCGACTCTGCCAATTGGGTCTATTGATTGCACGCCTTTTCATCTAATTGGAACCCAGGATTTGAATCCGGGTGCCCGCTTTGGGAGGGAGTTCCTTTTCCTTCTGGGCGAATACCCTCAATTCCACTACCCACTAAGTGGGGTGGAAAGTAACGTAAGAGGATGTCATTGGCCAGTCACCACTGACCAAGAACCAATGCCAATGGGCGACGCATTCTGGGTCTTGGCTTTGGGCTCCTGTCAATGTGTTGATTTTCCAAGTCTGCAGGTTCCAAATACGGACCCCCAGAAACATGTTCTGTCGCGGAATCCCCTGTGGTGGAACCAAGATATGTTCCGCATTTGCTTGAGAGTTGTCGTACTGTTTAGGGTGTTATTTGTCGGGGTCAGTTTAAAGTGTGCTGAAAGGGACCCATGAAGTTGGCTCCTTTCTTTGGCCCTCATCTTCTACTAGGTTGGTGAATCATTGTACATAGTCTCCCAAGATTTGTACAGAGCCCTTGAAATTGAATATTCTGTGAGGTGCGATGTTGTAACCAATTCTCGTTTTGTGGTTGTGTAAGAGGAAGTCCGAACGGCAGTCCAGCATCGCGGACAGAGAGCCTTCGGTC